CCTATGCAGGGACTTACCGGAAAGTGTACACGTGTCTTGGACTAGGAAAATTCTGCTCTGTTATCTTCGGGGAGTCTTTTTGGCTCCCCCTATTTAATCCTATGCTTCCTATACAAATATCTAGTGAAATGTAGTCGTTTCGGATCTCTACCGACCCTTCAGCTGAGTTCGGGCGACCGTTAAGCTCAGCGGCTATCCGGATAGCATATCCGGACAGATCGCCAAGTACTTACCGTGATACTTTGCTCCTAAGCTCTGGTTATCAGACCGAGCCGATTCTTGACCTAAAGTAGGTTGGCGTATGGTCGAATATGGAAATCCCTACACCACAGCTGCCCCGGTTATGATACGAGCCGAGCTGGTGAGTGTCTTAATCCTTCATTTGGTTCTGCCACCGTTGGTCCATACTCGGCTGATGACGTCTCGCGGCTCTCCACCACCTTCTTCGGTACGTTTGTTGCTTCCGCTGTCACTCCCTTGGCAGCTCCTTACTCCTCGCATGTTACTCCAGCACAACTCACGGCGCCATCCTTCTTCTCCAACTTCTCGTCGAGGTGAAGGCGTGCCAGCTGAGTCGATTCCTCGGCCCGTCGGTACTCGTGGGGTCAGCGACCGGCCTGAGGCTAGGTTGGTCGACCTGACAACTTCTCATGAGTCTGACGCGGAGTCGGCGGGATCTTCTCGCGTACGCCTTCCTGGTCCACCAAGCTTGCCGGGCGACACCACTTCGGGCGCCACCAGTCAGCCAATCTCGGCTGCTCCAGTGAGTCTTGACTCCCTCATGACCAGAGTTAACGAGCAAGGGTATGAGCGCCGAGAAGAATTGACCTTCTTGGCGAGGCTCATGGCTTACGGATTTACTCGTTCCGTGGAGCCTTCCGATCCCGTGCAGCGGCGAGCGATCTTGCATGCTGCTTCCGCGGGGAACTGTTGGATATCTTGAAAGGTAACTACGCCCGCTCTTGATTATCCACAGATCATTGGCGATCTCCGAGCTGACAATCAAGCTGTTCAGGAGGAGAACCGCGCACTGACTCGGCGACTGGACTCGCTTGCTCTCAGCAACGTCGACTTGTCAACTCAGCTCTCGTCGGCTCAACAGCAAGTGTCTCGATTGGAGGCTGCTGCCACGCAGTCGGCTAATCTCCTCGCGTCACTGCGAAAGGCTGTAGCTCTGAGTGAGGCAAAACTTGCTCGGGCCATCGCAGCTGAGCAGAGCAAGGTTGACGCTGCGTTGGGTCAGGCCCAGCTCCATCATCAGCAAGTCTTGGATCGAGACGCCGAGATCGACGTCCTTCTCCGATCCATTTCTGAGAGGGATGCGGCGTTCGTCGTCCACGCTCCAAAAGCGAGTGGCGCGTGCTGCCAATTGGCCAAACCGAAGTTGCAGCCACATGCGGAAGAGTCGTTACGGTCCCGCAATACAGAGGTGCTCTTAAAGTGTGAGCTCCTACATCAAAACACACTTGCGAGAGCACTTCTGGCGGGACGGAAAGGAATGCAGCAGTCGGTCTCACAAGAGCAAGGAGCCCAAGACCAAGTGCAAGGACAGCTCAAGAACAAGAGATCAAGACAAAAAAAACTTTAAGAGCATGAGTGAGCCCCGCGCCTGTACACTTACATAGCATATCATCAGAATAGACAGTTTAGAGCATTTTCGGAGCCGTGTGAGCCCCGTGAGGGGCTGAATCGTTCTCGGACACCCTGTGCATACTACTGACATGACCTGAAGGGCTGGACGGTATCGAACAGACCTGGGCAACCACTCAACAGGGGTGAGGCAACAGCTTTGACGTACCCAAGAGGCAACAGCGCGATGCGGCGTCTGAATTACCATGTACAGCTGCTTGGTCCACAGCCGTGCAAGGTAATTTGGACCCGTCGGACCGTGCCCTGAGGGCTGTAACACGTCGGCCAAGGGGAGGGCCTAAGCAAAAGCTGACTGGACCAACAAGCCGCCTGGAGTGACGATACCCTTAAGTTGTTTGTAATCCGAGGAGCCGGGATGGAAATGACAGTGATGTGTTCTATTCACAGAGAGCTTCTGGATTAGTACTGGAAAGGAAAGTTCGGTGTTCTATTCGAATACCACGCTGCTTAAGCTACTGTGTCCATGTTCCGGTGCTTAGATTCGTAAAATAGCTTTAGAATAGCTCCCAGTGCACTTAGACTTTCGAGTCTAACCGCCCATGTAATTATTTTCCATTTAGATCAGGCGATAGACGCGTTCAAGGTAGAAGGGCATGGCAAGAGGCCCGAGGAAAGAAAAAGGTTCCCCAACCAGTTGTGTAGCGGGATTTGGTGCAGAATTAACTCGACTAACTCTGTCCCATGGTGTAGAATTACCCGCGAGGAGCTATGATGATCGTCGTGCAACGGAGCCCGGCGTGAGTACGCATCCCAATTCCCACGGAGAATCCGCGTAAGGGATAGACAAACTCTGTAAACAGAGGCTTCGTAACCACCAGGGCCCGCTTACGGCAGGGAAATCCAAGAATTGGAGC